CGACAACCGAGGGGAGGAGGGTGACTTGAGACACACTAGACGGCGCAGGGCGGGGAGGGGGAGGAGCAGGGGCGACCAGGGGAGGGGGGGGGACCAGGAACTGGGGGGGAGTAACTGGGGGACCATGGTGGGGAAAGCAGTGGTTGAAGGAGACGGACTCGTCAAAGGTGACGTCGCGAGAGTGAAAGAAACGGTGAGACGGCGGGTGGTAGAAGTGCCAGTCAGACGAGTCGAGGGGGAAACCTAGGAAGACACAGGGGACGGTGCGGGCAGTGAGCTTGTCCATGCCAGAGGCACAAACGTGAGCAAGGCCGACCCAGACGTGGAACGCAGACGCGTCACCAGGAGACCCGGTCCTGAAGAGGGTCGGCGAAAGTTGTGGCCGCCAAGGGTGCGGCCATCGGTTAAGCTGGTGGGCGGCGTAGCAAATGGCGAACGTCCACAAAAAATGGGGTGCACCGGCATGGATCATGGAAGTACGAGCCACCTCCATGACCAAACCGATGCGTCGATCAGGGACCCCATTCTGCTGCGGGGAGTCCGGCAGGGTGAACGTCTGGGTGATGCCCTCCGCATGACAGAAGCGACCAAGGCAGCCAGAGGCGAACTCGCCACCACGGTCGGAGTGAAGACGCAACACAGGGAGACCTCGGTGCACACGCGCAGAGACAAGCCACGGGATAAGAACGTCGGGCACGTCGGCCTTCCGCTCAAGGGAAAATACCTTGGTGTAGCGAGTGTAGTCGTCGACAAGTACTAGAAAGTAACGCTCACGATGCGGCCCATGGACGGGGGCAGGGCCCCAGACGTCCATGTGTAGGGTCTGCAATGGTGCGGTGGTGGGGGGGAAGGAGGAGGAGTGAGGGGCACGGTGGAGCCGGCCCTCGACATAGGGGGTGCATGGAGGCTCTGTCGAGGAGGGGAGCGCAGGGAACAACGCAGGGAGACCTAGGACAAGACCGTGCTAGGAGGCATGTGAGGGCGGGATGACCTAAGCGGTGGTGCCACAGAAGCAACGAGTGAATAAGCGACCGACACGAGCAAGCTGCAGCAATCTAGGTAGACGCTGCCACCTGGGGGGGCGTCCCAACCGGGGGGGACGCGGTGTCCAGCGTGAACAGGCCAGACACCAGGTCCCGGGGGAACGTGGTGAGGGGGGCACTAGTGGCAGCCCCGGTATAGACAGCGTACCTCTCGTGACAAGGGAACGTAGTGGTGACGCCGAGGTCCTAAAGACAGCCGACACCAACTAGATTCTGAGAGAACGAGGAGATGTGCAGGCCTGTAAGAGAGCCCGAAGGAACTACCAGATAGGGGAGGGTGGTAGAACTATGGGCGACTACCGGTCCTGACGAAGGGTGTGCAAGGGCAACTGCGACAGGGATGACAAGCGGCGTAAGCGTAGTGTGGTCCCGAAAGAAACACCGAGACGCGCCCGAGTCGATAGTGAATGAGAGCGCGGAAGTGGTGGCTCGGGGCGGAAGAGCTAGGGTGGAGCCAAGGCTAAACAAAGCAAAGGGTCCTACGCCTAACACAGCAGGGGAGCCTAAACTAGGCGCACTGGGAACACCTACACCAGGCAACACGAGGTAATAGGAACTGGTCACACTAGAGTCATCGACATACATCACATACAATGAAGAGCAAATCCCATCCATGTCCAAATCAAAGATCCTAACACCACGGCTGAGCAGACTGTGCCAGTCGGGGATGTCCGGCGCGGGGCCGAAGCGGAGACGAAACAGGTCGGCCAGGCGACTAAAACAGCGAGTGGGGGTATGACCGGTCTTACCGCACACGAGGCCACGGCGAGGACCGGTCTGGAGCTGGTACAAGCAGCGCCCGTCACTTGCACCACCACTCGACGATGAGTTATGCGCAAGACCACCGCGACCACCACCACAGCCACCACCAGCGCCAGACCACCCAGGCGGGAGGCGGCCGACCCTCCGCTGCTGCTGCGGCTGCTGCTACTGCTGGTCAAGCTGTGGCACCTGCTGCTTCTCCCGCTGGGGCTGCTGCTCCGAGGCACCAGCCCCAGCCCCCTTGTCTCTACTACCGCCAGCGGACGAACCACCTCCACCACCACCTCCACCCCCTCCTCCACTACCACCGCCGCGCCCAGCCTTGGGGCGGCGAGCCTTACCATAACGGGACTGCGCTACGGCCACCGCGACAGTGGATTCAGCAGCAAGGGCTATCTCAACTACAGCCGAAGAACCTTAAGAGTAAGTGCACTGAGCGGGAGCACAACCCTGAAAGATAGGGACCAGCACAGTACTGCTAGACTGGGCGATAGAGCGCTGACGGGTCTCTATGGTAGACAGGGTGTCAACAAAGTCAGGGAGGGTGAGGTCAGCGGAGTGCAGACTCAGAAAGTGGTCGCTCGTAGTGGCAAGGCACTCGGGGAGGCGGATGGCAAGCATGTAAAGGGTAGAGTAGATAGGGGGTTGGAACACACGAAGCTGGGCCTTAATACAGGCAGTGCTCCAGCTAGCGTCGAGCGTGCGCAGGTGCGTGGCCAGGTCAGCGACAGTGGGGAAATCCATCTGGTGGGGAAAGACGGGATATCGGGGAAAAGCATGGGAAGGATCAGGCGGCCAGCAGAGGCAGAGGACGGGGTGGAATAACGCTCGACAACAGCCTCTTGGAACTCCTGCGCAATCCTGACCGACTTAAAGCAGGGGCGCTCAAACAGGGGGAGGGCATGGCTAATCGCGAGCTGAGCGACAGCGCCACGTGACAGCTAGACAGCACGTGCATGGGCAGCAGCGGCGGTGGACTCACGATCAGCACACGTGGGGTCAGCGGGGAGAGCAGCAGGGGGGTTAGGGCAGGGGAGCGTACCGTCAATGTGGACGGCTAGGGAGTGGCCGTCCTGCCACTGACCAGTGAGGTGACGGCGGAGGTCGACGAGCCATGAGTCAAACTCAACCGGCTGACCCTCTGCGTCAAAGCGCAGCACCGAGTCTGTCATTAAGGCCGCTGCAGCCGCGAACAGGCGGTGAAGGGCATGATGGAGTGACGAGGAGTAGTGGGGAGGAATGCTGTACGGTGTAGTGCCGTGGAGTGCGGTAGGGCGCCGTGAAGTGCGGTGCCACGTGGTGCAAAATGGTGCAGTGCGGTGGGGCACGGTGCAGTGCAGTGCAGTGAGGTGGGGCGCGGTGCAGTGTGGCGCGGTGCAGTGCAGTGCAGTGCAGTGTTGAGCGGTGCAGCACGGTGGGGCGTGGTGCAGAACGGTGGAGAGGGCTGGTTAAGCGGGCGGGGACCGGGAAACACAGCGGTTGAGCAGCTGGGAGACGGGGCCGCGGGGCGGCTGGGCGACGTGGCCGCAGAGCAGCGGGGCGACGAGGTCGCGGGGCGGCTGGGCGATGGGGCCGCGAAGCAGCGGGGCGACGAGGCAGAGAGGCGGCTGGACGACGAGGCCGCGGGGCGGCTGGGCGACAGGGCCACGGGCGGTTAGGCGACGAGACAGCTAGGTGACGGGGCGGCAGGTCGGCTACGCTGGGGGCGACGCGGCCACGGGGCCAGCAGGACGGCTAGGCGCAGGTGACGGGGCCGTGGGGCCAGCGGGGCGGCTAGGCGCTAGGTGGCGGGGCAACGGGGCCACGGGCGGCTAGGCGCTAGGTGACGGGGCCGCGGGCCAGCGGGGCGGCTAGGCGCTAGGTGGCAGGGCAACGGGGCCACGGGCGGCTAGGCGCTTGGGAACGGGGCCGTGAGGCCAGCAGGCGCTAGGAGACGGGGCCGACGGGCCAGCTAGGCAACGGGGCAGCGGGGCCAGTGGGGCGGCTAGGCGCTAGGCGACGGGGCAGGCTAGGACCTAAGACGGAAGCGCGGGTGTGGGGGGGGGGGACCTAGCCTACTCATGATACCATTTCAGAGTTAGAATTGTGAAGTAGAGTGAGAGTATACATGGGTCTATAGCTAGTGCGTTGTACTCTCTGTGGCATGACCCTATGTAGTCTACTAAACATACACACATATGTTTGACACAAACTGCTTCCGAATCTAATTCAAATATAGCCTGCTGCCCCCCCCCCCAACCCTGAAAGCCCAACTCTTGTTCAAACCAAGCCCATTCTCTTGTTCAAGCTGGGCCCAACTTGAATGGGGTTTGCTGTTTTAGCCTTGGCCTTTAACAATCCTTTTTCCACCATTGTTGAACGACTTGCATTTCCAAACATGGTAAATGCCCATGATTCCCCCCCCCCCCCATACTATGACCCGGTTTGTAACAGTTGAACAGTATATAAGAGCTTATTTGATTGCTAGTGTTTTCCTTGCTGGCATGGAGCATTCATTAGTGTAGATCCGAAGTTCCACTCAACCATATCCACAAAATCTGTTATGTCCTTTGGCTTTAGGGCGAGGGTGTCAAGCTCAAAGACTACCGCTATGCTGGATCAGAGCATAAGGAGTATGATGAGAGCAGTTTCGGGTGTTGTCAGGGAGGGATGTTTTCAAAGCCGATTCTGCTACCTGGTGGATGCTGTCTCGCCACGTCACCGACATCACAGCCCAATGGTGATAGGGTCAAGTCCCAGACGTTTGTTGTTGATAAATACCTTATGACCGTTTTGTGCTTGTATCTAACCATCTAAGAACGCGTAGCACCGTATTGAACTCGAGCACCGAGAACTTCTGGTACGACAACTTCGAATGGGTAGCAGGTGTGATTTGGTTCAGATGACCTCAAAGGAGGGCGTGTTTTAAAACGTGTCGAGCGTCGACACGCAGTGGGTCAAATGTGTCGTCTCCCACCCGGGTGGGTCAGGTTAGGTGCTGAGCCGTGCCATGGGTGATCGCACCACCATCGGTCACCCGCAAGTTTCTGCTACCTGGTTGTGACAAGCCCCAGAAAGGAAACTCTATCTCAACCGCTCGCGACAGTGGCCTATGCGTCCACCAAGTCTAAACGCTGACTACTGTGATTCGGGGGACGTAGGCAGGTCCCCTTCTTATAGGTACACGATGGCTCCTACTAAATTATGGCTCTAATCTATGCCGAACTCAATGTCGTCTTGTACATTGACCTTCTTCGCTCCTAATTCGTGGCTCTTCAGTCAACTCTGTGTTATACACGCGAAGCCTAGCATTGTGTAAATCCCATTCCTTAATAGCTATGGTTTCCGTACAGTCATCGTGTGGTAGAGCACTGGCCTCAAGTATCGGCCGTTGTCAGAATATGTGCGATCTATTATGTGCGTCCGCCTCGAGTGTTCGCGTTTCGTCGAGAAAAGTCGCTGTTGGATCGCACCCCTCGCACCTAGTGCCCGGCACCACCGCCATCAACAGCGCCGCAACTCCCTGTCGTCACTCACCTTCCCCCTTACGATTACCGTTTCAGAGACACTCCACTCCCTTCTCCCACTTACCCGCCTCATTCCATCCCCGCCTCCTCCGTACTGCCTCTGTCCCTCCCCCGCCTCTCTCTCCCCCGCGCGCTTCCTCCGCTCCTAATGGTCGTTCCCCTGCCGTCACCTCCCCGTCTCCCCCCGTCCCCAACTCCGACCCAGCCTTTTCCGCTTCCCCCTCCTCCGCTCCCCCGCATTCACTCGCCCCTTCCCCCTGCTCGGTACCTTTCGTCCTCTCGCCCTCAGACCTCTCCTCCGCATCATCCGCCGCGAATCTCTCCATCGAAGACTACATAGTCCGCTTTCTCCTTCAACCCGCAACGGACCTCGCTCGCCCCCCCATTTCGCGCTTCCACGTCTCCGCGATCGCAGTAGGCGCTAAGACGGGCCGCGCTTTCCTAGGAGTGAATCTCGAGTTCCCCGGCGTGCCTCTCCACAACTCCGTCCACGCCGAACAGTTCGCCGTGGCGTCCGCCGCATTACACGGCGAGCCCGCGCTCTCCGCGCTGTTGGTTTCGCGCCCCCCCTGCGGCCACTGCCGGCAGTTCCTGCAAGAGCTGCGCGGGGCGGAGGGGCTGCGCGTGGTTATAGCGGAAGAGGCGGAGGCGGCGGAGGAGACGAGTCTCACGCACTTGCTGCCGCATCGCTTCGGGCCGCACAGCCTCCTAGCCGACGATTTCCCGCTGCTGCTGGAGCAGCGAGACAACAGCCTGCAGCTAATCGATCCTGTCGACGTGCCCTCGCCGTTGGATTTCGTGTTGGTGCCTCCGCTCGCGCGCTCCTTCTCCTCCGCTTCCCCGTCTGCGGTCGATTCTGCAGCGGCAGCAGCTGTGTCCGCCGTTTCTCCCGCTGCGGTTGTCTCCTCTCCCCTGGGGAACGAAGCCGTCTTGCGGGCTCTAGACGCTGCCAACGCATCCTACGCTCCTTACAGTTTATCGCCCTCCGGAGTTGCGCTCGTAACGCGGACAGGGGCGGTGCATGCGGGGTCTTATATCGAATCGGCTGCGTATAACCCGAGCCTTCCCGCGCTTCAAGCGGCGCTGATCGCGCTGGTGGTGGAGACTGGAGGGGAAGGGGCGTATGAGGACGTGGTACACGTGGCGCTTGTCGAGAAGGAGGGGGCGCAGGTGCGGTTTGACTCGATAACAGCACTGTCTGTAGCGCGGATAGCCCCACATGCGACCTTCTCGCTGCACCTGGCTAGAGAAAGTTCACTCAGCGGTGGTGGTTGACAGTTGGTGTTTGAAAGATGGGGGGGAAACGACCATGGAAGGTGAGGCAAAGGAAATGATGTTCGGATGGATGTGTGCGGGCTCTTGCCCTTGGCTTATTGCTCGTGTACGCATTTTTTTTGGAATTGATCCATGCTGGAAGTGCCTCATGTTTGCAACACACTCTCCGAAGTGGCATTCCTCTTTAAATCCACTACCTTCTGGAGGGTGCTTGATTCGATGAGAGTTTAGAGACGGGCAGCAGCAAAGGAAGTGTGGCCATTTTCTGAAGTGGGCCCCTCACCTGTCACTTTCTCTATCACTCACTCACACGCACTCGCTCTCTCGCTTCCCCTCAATGCTGTGTTTCCCCCTCTCCATCGCCGCGACGACCATCCCTCCCTCCCTTGTGCTCCCCCCCTTACCCCGTTTCCCCTTTCCTTCCTGTCATTTCCCCTTTGAACTTGAACTTTTCATCCCTAAACATTCGCTGTGTCTCCCACCGTGGCACCTCTCACTCCTCCTTCTATCTCTTCTCCTCATCCTCCGCCACTGCCATTATGGCTTACGTTAGCACTCTTCTTCCGAGCCTTAGGGCGCGGCGGTGCTTGAGTTGCCCAACCTGACCAAGCTGCACACCTAGGGATGGTTATAATGGTGCGAAACAATGGCAAACTGGTGCAGTGCTAAGTTGTACCACTGGCCGAGCAAAGAAGCAACACCAAGCTAACACCCATGTGCTGAGGAAGGAAACGCCATACGGTAAAAAGCATAGCATTGTAGAAAATCGTGGGTGGAACATTGACCACACTAGTCTAAATTCTAAACATATCTTCGTATGTTGTTATAGACTATACAAGGTTGTGCCTTAGGGAGTACAACCGACTAGGTTATATTCCCTTGTATGTCATTGTTTTAGTCATTCGTTTAACATTGATATGGTATCATGAGTAGGCTAGGTCCCCCCCACCCCCTTGCGCTTCCGCCCTAGGTCCTAGCCGCCTCGTTACCCTCCCCCACGTGCTGGCCCGTCTCCTAGCCAGCCCCGTCTCCTAGCCGGCCCTGTCGCCTAGCTGGCCCCGTAGCCCAGCCGGCCCCGCCTCCTAGCCGGCCCCGCCTCCTAGCCGGCCCCGCCTCCTAGCCGACCCCGTCGCCTAGCAGACCTCGTCACCCAGCCGGCCCCGCCTCCTAGCCGGCCCCGCCTCCTAGCTGACCCCGTCGCCTAGCAGGCCCCGTCGCCTAGGTGGCCCTGTCGCCTAGCCGGCCCCGTAGCCCAACCGGCCCCGCCTCCTAGCCGGCCCCACTGCCTAGCCGGCCCCGTCGCCTGGCCGGCTCCGTCGCAAAGCCGGCTCCGTCGCCAAGCCAGCCCCGTCGCCTCTCCGACCTCGTAGCCTAGCCAGCCCTGATTCCTAGCCGGCCCCGCCTCCTAGCCGACCCCGTCGCCCAACCGGCCCCGTCGCCTCGTCGGCCCCGTCGCCCAGCCGGCCTCGTCACCTAGCCGGCCCCGTCCCCTAGATGGCCCCGTCGCCTAACCGCCCCCGTTGCATAGCCGGCCCCGTAGCCTAGCCAGCCCCGTCACCTCCCCACCTAGCGGCCCCGTCTCCTAGACGTCATCGGCCCTCTGCTCCGCACTGCACCGCCCGGTACCGCACTGCACCGCCCGATACCGCACTGCACCTCTCTGCACTGCACTGCACCGCACCCTACCGTACTGCACCTCCGTCTACTCCACTGTACAGCATTGCACCGCACATTACTGCTTCCCGCCGCACCCGGTCGCCCAGTAATGCCGTTCTGCAGCTGCAGCGACCATGATGGCGGACTCGGTCCTGCGCTTTGATGCGGAGGGGCAGCCGGTTGAGTTCGACTCGTGGCTCGTCGACCTCTGGCGCCACCTGACTGGTCAGTGGCAAGATGGCCACTCCCTAGCCGTCCACATCGATGGTACGCTCCCCTGCTCGGACCCCCCTGCTGCTCTTCCCACTGACCCCACGTCTGCTGACCGTGAGTCCGCTGCCGCTACTACCCTTGCCCGTGCTGTCTGGTTGTCGCATGACGCTGTCGCACAGCTTGCGATTAGTTATGCCCTCCCCCTGTCCGAGCGCCCCCGCTTTAGGTTTGTCAGGACAGCGCAAGAGACTGTTGTCGCGCGCTATTCCACACCGCCCTCTACCTCCGTCGGTCGCTTGATCCTACCCATGCTCTTTCATGATCTCGCGTCTTTCCCTACTGTCGCTGACCAAGCCGCCCGCCTGCGCACGCTAGACACGAACTAGCGCGCTGCCTGCACTGAGGCCCAGCTTCGTGTGTTTCAGCCCCCCATCTGCTCTACCCTCTACCTGCTTGCCACCCGCCTCCCTGACCGCCTTGCCACCGCCCCCGATCACTTCCTTAGTCTCCACCCCGCTGACCTCACCCTCACTGACTTTGTCGACACCCTGTCTGCCATAGAGACCCGTCAGCGCTCTATTGACCAGTCTAGCGGTACCGTGCCGGTCTCTATCTTTCAGGGCTGTGTCCCTGCTCAGTGCACTTACTCTGACGGTTCTGCTGCGGTCACTGAGACAGCTCCTGCTGCGGAGACAGCCGCCGCAGTGCAGTTTCGTCCGGGTAAGGGTCACCGCCCCAAGGCTGGGCGCGTCGGAGATAGCGGAGGAGGGGGTGGTGTCGGTGGTGGAGGTGGCTCGCCCGCTGGTAGTACTGACGAGGGGGCTGGGGCAGGTGCCTCGGAGCAGCAGCCCCAGCAGCAGCAGCAGCAGCAGCAGCAGCAGGCGCCGCCGCTAAACCAGCAACAGCAGCAGCCGACGCAGCAGCGGGTCGGCCGTCTCCCGCCAAGGTGGCCTGGCGCCGGCAGTGACGGTGGTCGCAGTGGTCGTGCGCGCGGCATGACGTCGGGTGGTGGTCAAAGTGACGGGCGTTGCCAGTACCAACTCTTGACCGGTCCTCGCCGCGGCCTCGTGTGCGGTAAAATCGGCGATACCCCCACTCGTTGCTTCCATCGCCTAGACGAACCTGTTTCGTCTCCGCTTCGACCCGTCGCCTGACCTCCACGACTGGCAGAGTCTCCTCCGTCGTGGTATTAGGATCTTTGATATGGACATGGATGTGATTAGCTCTGCTTTGTATGTGCTGTATGTCGATGACTCTAGTATGACTGGTTCATATAACCCTGTGTTGCATAGTGTAGGTGTGCCCAGTGCGCCCAGTTCAGGCTCATCTGTTGCGTCAAGCGTAGGATCCCTTGCCTTGTTTAGCCTTGGGTCCTCCCTCACTCCTCCAACCCTTGTCGGCACTACCGCGCTCTCCTTCACCCTCGACTCCGGCGCTTCCCGGTGTTTCTTTCGGGACTCCTCTACGCTTACGCCGCTAGCCGCTCCCGCCGCAGTTGCTCTTGCAGACGCTTCCTATGGTCCTGTAGTCGCCCGTAGCTCCACCACCCTCCCCTGTCCGGCGGTTCCCTCGGGTTCCCATACAGGGCTGCACATCCCCTCGTTCTCTAGGAACCTAGTTGGTGTCGACTGCCTCCAGGACCTTGGCATCACCACTACGTTCCCTGGGCACGAGCGGTACGCTGTCTGTACCGAGGCCGCCACTGGTGCCCCCCTCACCACATTCCCCCAAGACCCAGTGTCTGGCCTGTTCACACTGGACATCGCGTCCCCCCCGGTTGGGACGCCTCCCCAGGTAGCAGGGTCTACCCTGGTTGCTGAGGCTTGCTCGTGTCGGTCGCTTACTCACCCGTCGCTTCTTTGGCACCACCGTCTAGGTCACCCCATTCTCACTCGTCTCCGCACATGTCCCAGCACGGTCTTGTCCTAGGCCTCCCTGAGTCGTTCCCTGCGCTCCCCTCCTCACCAGGGCCTCTGTGCACCCCCTGCATCAAGGGCTGGCTCTGCCGTGCCCCTCACTCCTCCTTGTTCCCCCCCACCGCCGCACCGCTGCAGACCCTGCACATGGACGTCTGAGGCCCCGCCCCCGTCCATGGGCCGCGTCGCGAGCGCTATTCGTACTGCTTGTCGACGACTACACACGCTACACCACCGTCTTTTCCCTGGAGCGGAAGGCCGACGTGCCTGACGTTCTTATCCCGTGGCTTGTATCTGCTCGTGTTCACCGAGGTCTCCATGTCTTACGTCTTCACTCCGACCGTGGTGGCGAGTTCGCCTCTGGCTACCTTGGTCGCTTCTGCCGTGCGGAGGGCATCACCCAGACGTTCACCCTGCCGAACTCCCCGTAGCAGAATGGGGTCGCTGAGCGACGCATCGGCTCGGTCATGGAGGTGGCTCGTACCTCCATGATCCATGCCGGTGCACCCCATTTTCTGTGCCCGTTCGCCATTCGCTATGCCCAAGAAGCGTCTGTGTGCTTGGTAAGGACCACTGGTCTACGTCCTCCTAGCACTAGCCCCATGCCCGATGTACTTGCTAGATAACGCAAAAACCTCCTAGCTGCTGACCAGTGCTGTGGTTGGTGTCTACCGGTGGCCACAAAACGAGCTGAGAGGGTATGCGAGATCTGGACGAGTGCAAGTCATCTGGTACATGAAGCAACCCACCAGCTCTGCATAGGGACCACTAGGCTCTACACCCTCTTCCGGGACTAGAGCAGAGAGTTTATGATCTACTGGCAGAGGGGTGGGCTGTGCGGAAGAGAACTGAAGGCTGAACCTCTGAAGGACCTAGCGCAGCAAGTGTGACTGTGTCAGAGTGATGGTGCGCGCTGCTCTGTCCATGGAGATCTGCTAGCCAAGGTAAGATGAGTGATGCTGCTCAGTTTATGGAGAAACTCTGTTTATGGCGCATAAACATGCTGTTGCGCTGCTCAGTTTATGGAGTGATGCTACTCTATAAACTGTAGAAACTCTGCTGTTGCGCCCGTACTCCATGTTTCCTTCAAGGGCAATTGTAAGGAATTTCCATTCCTTATTGAACTGTACGCTATCGCGTACACGCGAACTCCTCGACTCATCACGTTCGGCCTCATTTGTCGGCCCAACCCTTTCCCGAGTCGCGTCCGGCACTGTCGCCACATTGCTGAACCTACCACGTTCCGAGGTTATCACCCTAGTACGCCAACCCCTATATAACATCGTGCCTTCATTGCAATAGCGACCTAGTATTCTCACATTATAATTCATTGACACTTCCATATCATAACGGCAATGGTCGTTTCCTCGAACATGAGTTTCCCCTCCGGTTAGGTGAAAACTCTGCTCGGCGTGGGAGAACTGAATCGGCGGCCCTCCGTGAAGTTCGGCTGCTAATTGATGACGATTTTGTCGGTGACGATCTCCATTGCTGCTGAAATCCAGTAATTTAGGCGAGGGTGTTGAGTGACCCGCTGGGGTTGCCCTTGAGATCCTCGGGGAAGGGCCACAGGTGCAGAGCCTGGGGGGCTATGGGCGCACTTACCCGCTATTTAACAAGCCCTTTTAACCCAGTGGTTAGTGGCTGGATTTCTGACATGGTATCAGAGCCAAATGTCTTGGGTTCAACTCCCAGTGCCAGCGCTGCAAAGGCGCTCGTGTCTTCCACCTATCCCAGCGGGGGGGGGGGGTGTTGAGTGACCCGCTGGGGTTGCCCTTGAGATCCTCGGGGAAGGGCCACAGGTGCAGAGCCTGGGGGGCTATGGGCGCACTTACCCGCTATTTAACAAGCCCTTTTAACCCAGTGGTTAGTGGCTGGGTTTCTGACAGAGGGTTGCAAGATCCGATTTTCCGGAAATTGGCACGCGCGCCGTCTTCTTCAAATAAATCTCGTGCCGGAAAGACCGGAGCAACGAACAAGACGTCACCTGCACCCTTCGCGCTTTATCATGTGTACTCTTGGCGGCCACAATTCATTGGCGTTTCTTTGAGGTTGCCGCGTGATAGGAAGGCTCGTTTTTCTTGTTTTTTTCTTCAACCGTTCTCGCAGCCGCCGATGAACTCGCTTTAGAATATTGTCAGGTGTTGCCTATGACGCGTGCTTGCCACACAAAAACCACTGAAGTAAAATGGACTATTCACCAACTCAGCTGTCCGTTCCTTGGGGGAGGGAGGACCCGAACAATCCAGGCCGTTCAAAGACAGGGGTCTGGTGACGAAGGGAGCGCACACGCCTTAGTCGGACGAGCTAACCAATTAGCTCTGAACCAACTGCTGTGCAACCTCGCGACCCACCAGCCATCCCTCCTCCCCCCCCCCCCCCCCCCCCCCCCCCCCCCAAGAAAATTATCGGGTAGGCGGAAGCTACTACGCGAGGAAAGTGGCTCTGAATACCAAGTGTTATGAGTGGGAATGGAACAATTGACTGAGTAATGGAAATACAATAGGAATAATAATTAATGAGCAAGTGACAACCGAACTGGCTTAAATAGGGCTCGTACGTGCTAGGGCGAGAACCTCGGGACGTGAGGTGGCTCGGAAGGGTGGCGAGGGTGTCGGAACGCGATTCGGGAAGGTTTGGGCCGACAATCGAGGCCGAACCTGCGAGGTAGAGGTATTGGGGGGTATGCACTGTAATTTAGCGCAGAAAGGAATTGCAATTCCTTACACCTGTCGTTTTTGGCTGCGAATTCAATTGTAATTCTCGCTTTGGGGAACTGGGTTACCGCTCGGGGGTGTTCAAGGTTAATAATCTTGAAACAAAATTTTTGCAACTTGGGTCAACGGCTTTAAAACGTTAGGAGATGTAGAGGCGAGGCGAGACTCAAGATGGGACCATGCCTCTGAAGGCTCGCCAGAAGTCAACATCCATCCACCTCTGTCGCTAGGTTGAGGGTTGTGCCGCGTGATGGGGGGACGTGGCCTTTTGGTTGTGGTTGCCACCGGACGGAGGAGGATGCGCTGACGATGCCTTTTCCGCCACGCTGGTAGGCGACGTGGCCGCCAAGCCTTTCCCAGCCTACACCCTTCAGCAACCCAAACCCCTCATCTCCTCCAACACCCCAACTTCCCAAGAACAATCCCTGCCAAATCATCGCCTTATCCCAGGTGGACCTTTGCAAAGCCAGCGCCACGTCGGCAGCAACGTGGCGCCGTGACACTCTCAATGGTGTTGGAGTGCGAAACCTCAGGTTCTGTTCCCCAGGAAGCATCAGCAAGAATGCGCGTGCCTCAAGGACTCCTTTTCAGCCTTCTCTTCCCTCCCAGATTCCCACTTTACGACCAGAATATTTGATTTCTGGTTCTCGCCTCCCTGGTTGCTCTACGCTCTTGCCTAACGGTCTACCACAACTTCACTTGCCCTCGCGGGTTTAATTCGGTAGACTAGCAACCATGGCAGCTGCTACTCAGACAGCCAACCTGAAGGTTTGCTTCCTCAGCGGGAGCGAGTCGAAGCTGGGCTCTTCCTTCACCCAGACCGCCTCGTTCGCGCCTAAGACCGGCGTCAGCTCCACCCCTCGCAAGCTGACCGTCAGGGCCGCGCGTGAGAAGTTCGAGAGGACGAAGCCCCACGTTAACATTGGTACTATCGGGCACGTCGATCATGGAAAGACCACCCTGACAGCAGCCATCACCACAGCTCTTGCCTCCGTCACCGGTGGCCAGGCTAAGAGGTAACATTTGACGCGATAGTCGGGACACTTCTAGCTGAAATGTCTCGCGCTTTTGGATGGTGACTGACGTAGCGGTTCTCGTTACAGGTACGATGAGATCGACGCGGCTCCCGAGGAGAGGGCTCGCGGTATCACCATCAACACTGCTCACGTCGAGTACGAGACGGAGGCTCGGCACTACGCTCACGTCGACTGCCCCGGTCACGCCGATTACGTTAAGAACATGATCACCGGTGCCGCTCAGATGGACGGAGCCATTCTCGTCGTTTCCGGTGCTGATGGCCCCATGCCCCAGACTAAGGAGCACATTCTTCTGGCCAAGCAGGTAAATTGAGACGTCCTGGAAGCTACATCTCTCATTCCTGCCTGTTAGCGCATTGGTATAGCACCTCTCGTGTAACACGTTGACGACTGAGTCTCTTTGCAATGATCGTGTCTACAGGTCGGTGTGCCCGCCATGGTGGTGTTCATGAACAAGGAGGATCAAGTCGATGATGCCGAGCTTCTCGAGCTGGTACGGTTCCAGCGACTTGGAACTCCGCACGTCTAATCCTCACATGAACTTTATTTAGTGGGGCGTGGGAGGTTTGTCTCTAAACAGTCAGACGGCTTGGTTCCTGTGCAGGTCGAGATGGAGGTCCGTGAGACTCTGTCCAACTACGAGTTCCCTGGTGACGACATCCCCATCACCGCGGGCTCTGCTCTCATGGCCCTCGAGCACCTCACTGCTAACCCCGGTGCCAAGCGCGGCGACAACCCCTGGGTGGACAAGATCCTGACTCTCATGGACACGGTCGATGACTACATCCCCATCCCCGAGCGCGCTGTGGACAAGCCCTTCCTCATGGCCGTCGAGGACGTGTTCTCCATCACCGGCCGTGGGACCGTCGCCACTGGCAGGGTGGAGCGTGGCATCGTCAAGGTGAGTGGTCCGATTTGAGACAGCGTGGTCGAATGAACTGACTCTTGTCTGTCAAGATTAATCATCCATAGTAAAGGAAGCGTACTTCTGTCCCTGTTTCATTTGTCTGATGTCGAACAAGCTGTACTCTCTTATCTGTACGTTGCCCTTTCCAGGTCGGTGACACAGTCGAGCTGGTCGGTCTGAAGGAGATGAGGACGCTGACCGTGACTGGACTCGAGATGTTCCAGAAGATTCTCGACGAGGCTATGGCCGGTGATAACTGCGGCATGCTCCTCCGTGGTATCCAGAAGACTGAAATTCAGGTATTGATCGCGTCGTGTCAATATACTTGCATGTGGCGAATCGATCGCGCACGTTCTTTCTATGTCTTGCCTGCTTAGGATTGTACGTTCAAGAACTAACTTTTGTACTCCCTCTTCTTTCAGCGAGGGATGGTGCTGTCCAAGCCCGGTTCCATTAAGCCGCACAACTCGTTCGAGGCCTCTGTGTACATCCTGAAGAAGGAGGAGGGTGGCAGGCACTCGCCCTTCTTCGTTGGCTACAAGCCCCAGTTCTACATGCGCACAACTGATGTTACTGGATCCGTCACAAAGGTGAGAATTGACGCACTTCAAAGTTGAAGGTGGTTGTAAGCAGAGTGGTAGTGGTGCCCTGCTTAAATGTAACTGTTCAATCTAAGGAGACTGCATTTGTGGCAATGCAGGTGTTGAGCGACAAGGGTGAGGAGACGAAGATGGTCATGCCTGGCGACAGAGTGAAGATGGTTGTGGATCTGCTCGTGCCTGTCGCTATTGAGAAGCAAATGCGCTTCGCCATCCGTGAGGGAGGCCGCACTGTGGGCGCTGGTGTTGTGTCTGAGATTCTGAACTAGATACCGTTTGCCTGCCTAAAGGTAGTCTGCCTCGGTCTGTGAGGGCTGGGCTGACGCAACCCAGTCTCTTGTATGTCCATTTCAGTTTTCCTTATTACCTAGCATGACAATTTTTCAAGGTGCTGCTGCTCTTACCTAAAATGGTTTCCAATATTTCCAATGGTTTCCACCTCACCTGACATTGCAATGAATTTGCATATCAGAAAACGTAGAACAGTTGCGAAGCGATGCTATATGATGAAGCGAAGAAAGCAAAGGGTTGAACTGTGGACTGTGCGGCGACGGTTGGTTGATAACTCCTGTCAGAGAACATGAACCAGAACAATGATAATAGCAAAAGGAGATAGTGATAACGTATACATATTTATAGCTATTTGTGTGTAGGTTAGTGAATGGACTGAATTTCTAAATACGGAGAGAGAACAACCCTCTTGTACAATATCTCTGTCTAAGGATATAATTAAATATATCTTTGCATAGGTTTGGTAGTTCTGCTACTTACTGAATCCTACTGTAGAGAGGACAAGCCTCCTTCTTGTATATCCTTCTCTTCTAGTCCATTCCCTTTTCTCTCGTCAACTTTCTCCTACCCTAGCTTAAACCTCTCGCTAGTTCTATGCCTAGCTCCAGGGCCTCAGATTGCAGGCTTTTTACCCTGATTCAGGGTAAAATCAGGGCTTTTTGGGGGGATGACCCTGATGAGACAGGGATTTTTTAAGACAACAGCCTGAAATTTCAGCGTTTTTTTAGGAGTGAACTCTGATCGATTAGCGTGACAAGTGTAGTGAGGCCTGTTTTTCCAGCGTCGTATCAGGGCACGATCCTGATTCTTGTAATAGCGTATTCCTAGCCCCAACCCCCCCACCCGTGAGTTCCGTGATTTTCCCCCCACCCTCCCCGTCAATCACGCCGACTTGACTGTGACCAACCAGAATCCCGCCCCCCTGGAGAGTATTCTGCCTTTCTTCATCCAGCACACAGTGCTCGGCAGGTTCTCTTAGGTTGTTTGAAAGTTGCCAGCCACTGCTGTCTCCAGCACATACCGTAGGTGACTGTTTATTCAGCGTGAAAAAATTACAACACCCTGATTGATCAGCGTAAGATTTTATGCGAGGCCTGAAAAAACAGGGAGCTAAAGGGGGGGGGACCCTGAGCGATCAGCGTGCCCCAAAACGAATCTGAGGCCCTGCCTGTCAAAAGACTAGCTTAGCTAGGAAGCCATAGAATGGCACAAGGTTTAGCTAGGAGCTAGGAGGTGTCAACTTATACATATTATCTATGTAGAAGTTATAGGCTAGACTGAGGTATGCTTCTAGTGAGTACAACCAACTAGTATTTGTTCTAGGTTTCCACCTCTAGTAAATCATTCGTTTCTACGTTAACATGGTATCAGAGCCAAAGGTCTTGGGTTCAACTCCCAGTGCCAGCGCTGCAGAGGCGCTCGTGTCTTCCACCTATCCCAGCGGGGGGGGGGGTGTTGAGTGACCCATCCCCGTGCACGTTCACTGACGTTTCGGCTGCGGTCGCCACGGCGACCCCTCTTACCAAGACGGCTGCTGCTGTCCACCCGCAGCAGCGCTCGCGTCGCGGTGGCCGTGGCCGCCAGGGAGGTAGGGGTGGTGACGCAGGTGGTAGTGGTCGTGGTGGTGGTGACGGTAGTCCGCCTGAGGGGACTACCACCGGTGGGCAGGAGCAGCAGTCCCAGCAGCAGCAGGACCAGCCCCAGCCGCAGCCGCCGTCCCAGCAGCACCCGCCGCAGCCGTGGGCTCGTCTCCCGCCTGGTTGGCCCGGCACCTCCGGAGGCGGTGGCCGTGGTGGCGGCCCGCGCAGCTTGGCGTCTACCAGCGGCTCCAGTGCTGTGACCTGCCAGTACCAGCTTCAGACCGGGCCTCTCCGCGGCACTCTGTGCCGCCGCCCGCACCCGACCGCCCACTGTTTCCGCCGCCTCGACGATCTTTTTCGTCGTCGCTTTGGCCCGGCCCCGGACCTCCCTGACTGGCACAGCCTGCTCCGCCAGGGCGTGCCGATCTTTGAGTTAGACATGGATCAGATAGGTGCTGCTTTGCATGCTTTGTATGCTGACGCTTCTAGTGTTGATGGATCTTACTACCATGTGTACTCTAGTTTAGGTGTTTCACCCTTGTGTAGCTTAGCTTCCCCTGCTGCGACAGGCGTAGGACTGCCTAGGTTGCCTAGTCTAGTCGCTGCACCGGCTCCGTCCGCGGCCTCCGCCACTGCGTCGCTGTCCTTCACTCTTGACTCTGGTGCTTCTGCCTGCTTCTTCCGCGACCGTTCCACGCTCACGCCGCTTGCTGCACCTGCTGTTGTCTCTCTCGCTGACCCCTCTGCGGGTCCGGTCGTCGCGCGCAGTTCTACGTCCCTTCCCTGTCCGGCAGTTCCCTCGGGCTCCCTTACTGGCCTCCACGTTCCCTCGTTCTCCAGGAACCTGGTTGGTGTCGGCTGTCTCCAGGACCTCGGCGTCACCACCACGTTCCCCGGGCACGAGCGGTTCGCTGTCTGTTCTGAGGCTGTCTCCGGTTCCCCCCTTGCGACGTTCCCCCGGGACCCGGTGTCCGGTCTGTTTACCCTACACACCGCTTCCCCCCCGGTTGGTGCGTCCTCCCAGGTCGCTGCAGCTTGCTCGTGTCGGTCCCTCACTCACCCCTCCCTTCTCTGGCACCACCGCTTAGGTCACCCTGCTCTCCCGCGTCTGCGTCACATGTCCCAGCACGGTCTTGTCTTAGGTCTCCCCGCGTCGCTCCCTGCCCTTCCTCCCTCGACTGCGCCACCGTGCACGCCTTGCGTCGAGGGTCGGCTCCGCCGTGCTCCTCACTCCTCCTCGCTGCGTCCTGCTACTGCCCCCCTTCAGACCCTGCACTTGGACGTTTGGGGCCCTGCCCCCGTCCCCGGACCGCGCGGTGAGCGCTACTTCCTTGTGCTCGTTGACGACTACACGCGCTACACCACGGTGTTTCCCCTGGAGCGGAAGGCCGACGTGCCCGACGTTCTTCTCCCGTGGGTTGTAGCTGCGCGTCTCCACCGCGGTCTCCCCGTGTTGTGTCTCCACTCCGACCGTGGCGGCGAGTTCGCCTCTGGTCGGCTTGGACAGTTCTGTCGTGCGGAGGGCATCACCCAGTCGTACACGTTGCCGGACTCGCCACAGCAGAATGGGGTTGCTGAGCGCCGCATCGGCTTGGTCATGGAGGTCGCCCGTACCTCCATGATCCATGCCGATGCCCCCCATTTTCTGTGGCCGTTCGCTGTTCGCTACGCGGCTCACCAGCTTAACCTGTGGCCACGCTCCCAGCGGCCGCAGGTTTCGCCGACCCTCCTTTGGACCGGGTCCCCCGGTGACGCGTCTGCGTTCCACGTCTGGGGCTGCCTTGCTCACGTTCGTGCCTCTGGCACGGACAAGCTCACTGCCCGCACTGTCCCCTGTGTCTTCCTCGGTTTCCCCCTGGACTCGTCTGACTGGCTTTTCTACCACCCGCCGTCTCACCGCTTCCTCCACTCTCGTGACGTCACCTTTGACGAGTCCGTCTCCTTCTACCGCCGCTTCCCTCACCGAGGTCTCCCAGTTGCCCCCCCCCTTTTCCTTGCTCCCTCTCCCCCGGTAGCCCCTGCCCCTCTCCCGCCTCGTCCTGCCCCGTCTGGTGTCTCCCACGTCACTCCCCTCCCGTCGGTTGTCCCCGTTGAGGAGTCTGCTGACTCTGGTGGTACCCCCAGTCCGTCCTTGCCGCGTCCCCCTTCCCCAGTGCCTCCGCCCCCACTGTCGCAGTCGCCGACCCCGCTGCCGCCGCCGTCGCCGTCGCCGCCGCAGCCGTCGCCGCTGTCGCCGCCACTGCCGCCGCTGCTCTCGGCCCCTGGGGGTGCTGGTGTGGAGGAGGGTGTTCGTCCTGCGGCTTCTGGGGGTGCCGCTGGTGTTGGAGGGGGTTCTCGCTCTTGGGGTGTTGGTTCTGGGGGTGCTGCTGTTGAGTGTTCTGCCGACGGTCGTTCTGCCTCTGCTGGTCCGAGAGTTCCGGCCCAGCCGTCGTCGCCGCCACAGCAGCCGTCGCCGCCGGTTTCCGCTCTCCGCCTGCTCGGCCTTCCCTCCCCGGACCGCGCGCCGGTGTCTCCCCCACCGCCTCCTGACCTCCCTGTCTACGGTCCTGTGTTCCCGCCGCCAGACTCGTCTCCGGCCCGTCTTCCTCCTCGTTCCCCTCCTGTGTCTCCTCCGCTGTCCCCTGACCCTACCCCTCCGTCTCACGTTTGGGCTCGCCGTCCCTCCCGTGCTCGTCCCGTCTCTCCTGTCCTGCCCACCCACCCTATGTTGCTCCGTTCCCACTCGTCTCGTCCTCCCCTCCTCCCGTCCCCTCCTCCCTCGTCCCTTGCTGTTGCACCTCCTCCGTTCTCTGACTACCTCCGTGCTGCTCGTCCCCTTGTCCCTCGGGTCCTTGCCTCTCTTGTTACCGACCTTGCTGTTCCTGTCTCGCGCCTTGACGCGCTTGTCGCTGCTGTCGCTGACTTCGCTTCTACCCGCCGCCTTGACTACGCTACCGCTCTGGTCTCTGACCCTGCCCGTCCTCTGTCCGTCGGGGGTGCTCCTGCCCTTGGCAGTGACGTCCTAGAGGACAGGCAGTACGAGCTGGCTTTCCTTTCCGAGGCTGCTCCCCATCTCTGCTCCATGCTGTTAGTCCCTGAGGGTGACCCAGACGCCTTCGACATCCCGACCCCTCGCACCTACGCTGAGGCCACCTCGGGACCTTGGGCCTCTCAGTGGATAGCTGCCATGGAGCAGGAGATGGCATCTTGGAGATCCACCGGCACTTACGTCGACGCAGTTCCCCCGCCTGGGGTGAACGTAGTCGATGGTCGGTGGCTCTTCAAGGTGAAGCGCCCCCCTGGAGAGCCGCCTGTCTTCAAGGCGCGCTATGTGGCCAGAGGTTTCAGTCAGCGCGAGGGGGTTGACTTCTTCCAGACCTTCGCCCCGACCCCGAAGATGACCACTCTTCGGGCGCTGCTACACGTAGCAGCACAGCGTGACTACGAGCTTCACTCTCTCGACTTCTCTACTGCCTTTCTTCAGGGCAGCCTACACGAGCAGGTCTACCTGCGCCGACCACAGGGCTTCACTGGTACCTTCCCTCCTGGGACCCAGTGGCTTCTCAGGCGCCCGGTCTACGGCCTGCGTCAGGCTCCCCGCGAGTGGCACGACACGCTACGTGC